AAGGAACTACCAGGGAGCCTATGGGCAACCCAGCCTCAGTCTCCGGAGATCGAAAGAACTCGCAATTGCGTGTCTTGCGGTGACCACCATGGCAATGTTGTCTTTTCGAGGCAGCTGGCTGTTGTAGGCCAGACTGATGCGCTTTACATGTTTGGGGCTCAGAGGTTCATTCTTTGCACAAAATTGAATATGAGGAATTGGGTTGGGTGGTTTGCTCGGCCAGCCGAAGTAAAACCCAACAGAACCTCCCATACGGCAAGCGTTGGTAATCCTCTTCCAACTTGACGGATTGACAACCCCAGAAACCCTAAACCCTGAAACCCTAAACCCTAAACCCCTAAACCCCTAAACCCCAAACCCCAGCCAAAACGAGCTCTCAAAGCCCACCGACCCCGCTGAGGCCACTCTGCCGGTTGGAGGAGGACGAGATGTTAAACTTGAAAAGATCACAAGGGTTTAGGGTTTATAGGGTTTATAGGCTTATAGGGTTTATAGGGTTTATAGGGTGTATAGGGTGTATAGGGTGTATAGGGTTTAGGGTTGAGGGTTAGGGCTTAGGGTTTAGGGTTCAGGATGCTAAACTTGAAAAGATCATAAAGGAAACCCACGGCACGTACGTACAGACTGTTGATGATATAAATCCTGCATTACCTTAAGGACCCTAAACTATGGGAAGTATGGTATATTCCTTATTCGGGGTAATGCAGGATTTATATCATCGACCGTTCGTACACCGCTCTCACCATGCCCGCCGCCACCGAGAATGCAGAAGCGGATCATCCCGACGCGCTCGAGCCCGGAAGCTCTGAACCCCTCCTAACCCTAAACCCTAAACCCATGAAACTAAAATCCTAAACCCTAAACCCCTAAACCCTAACCCATGAACACCCCACACCGTTAAGCGTTTGCCTTCGAGTCCCGAGCAGCCATAGATCCCCGAAGCCCTTATATAAAATGGGGGTATAGGGTTCCTTTAAAGGCTTCCTTAAAGGGTTACTCTAAGGGCCGAGGGTTTAGGGGCATTCATAATTAGTCTCCAGTGTAGTTGTTTTTGATTTAGCCACTTTCATTTTACTGGGTGTAAGGTAACCCGAGAAGCGACCCTGAAGAGGAAGAGGAGGACATCGACGACTCGCAGCAGTTCTCCATCAGCCTCTAACCTCTCTCGAGGAGGCCTTGGAGAATTCAGCGTGACCCTAAACCCCAAACCCGAGACCCTAAACCCCTAAACCCTAATCCGCAAGCCTTTCATCTGAATCCCGGGAATCCCGTGCACCATCATGTTTCACACAGGTCCTAAATTCCCTACTACCCCCCAGGCCATTAAGGCTCAGGGTGCCTATAAAGTAATAACTTATGTAAGCCTTAAAGGGGTTCCTATATTAAAGGAAACTACAGGTGGGAAGTTTAGGGTTTAGGGTCTTAGAGCCCAAAACATAAGAGAGGTGCAGATCTTCCAGCAGGTTGCTGCGGCTGTGGGCGGAGGACGGGTTGAAGCTCGCTTTGTCGGGTGCTGGACCTTAGGGCTTACATTGCTTATTGTGAGGGTGTTGGGCCCTAGGGTTATTAGGGGTTTAGGGCTTAAGGTTATTCGGGTTTAGGGTTACTAGGGTTTTGGGTCCTAGGTTCAGCTTATGGTAGCGAAGCGCCGTAGTGAGTTGAGAGATATCGGACAAAAGTTGCTCACGCAGTGGTATGCAGCTTGTGACACATGATGGCCGACGTTGCTATGCACTTCCTCGGGTCAGCGATCAAGCCTTTGATGTCATTTAGTCGGGTCCCTTCTTTCTCTCGACGTTTCTTCGGTATGCCGGGGATGTGTTTGGCATCCTGGCTGCTCCTTTGGGCGACAGCCCAGTCAATGAAGCTTCACCTGGGCAACGAGTTGAATACCAGTCGTTCATTCTCCTGCGAAGACACGGCGCCGACTTTTGTCGGCGACATGGCGCAGGACTTGGAAGGGTCGTATGGCTATGACTCGATGTTCTACAAGGGTTGCCTTCAGTTTCTAGGTCCCTGAGTGGCGCCCTTTTGCCCTTTTTATTCTAGGGCCCCCTTACTAAAACCGAATAGTAGGAAAAAGGGTACCCTTGTTATAAGGAGGCTACCTATGAACCAAGGTTTGTTCACAAGAATGCTGATCTGAAGCTGCCCATCATCGCTCAGATTGAGAGGTTTGGCAGTGTTTGCAAGCAAGGGCTCTTCGTGGAGGGAGAATCTGCACTCGGCGAGGTGGATCCGAGCCTTAGATAGCCAGTGGGAAAACTTGAACTAGGTTTGTTTTATTTGGCCTCATACAATCGGTCCATCATAGAAGTTTAGAGCTTTTTGGGGCGGCTCAATTATTGAAGAAGAAAGGAGTGTGTTGGAATCCGAGTGCGACCGGGTCATCTACAACATGGAGGTACAGTACAAACTGCTTGGCGGTCGTTCTCTTTCCACACCGGAAGGCTTCTGTGCCGTCCTCATCGACTTAGTCTTGCCGATCGACGAGGAGCCAGAGTGTATGCGACTTGTGGAAGATGTGACTCATGCGCACTTGGAGAAGCTGGGTACCAAGCATGCATGGCCTGGCATCATCCATGAGCCGCACTTTGACGAATCCTTCATGATTGCTTGCTTAGAAGACAAGAAGCTGGGCAGCGAAGGAAAGGGCAGAGAAGCAGAGTTCGGAGTCGGGTCTGATGAGTGCAAGCTCGCGCTGGAGCGGCTCATGAACATGCCTTGGACGAACGTGAAGGGGATGGCCGACTTTCTCGCTGATGTGTGCCCCTTGTTGGGCAAGCCCTTGCCCAAGCTGACCGAGCCACCAGAACCCACGTATGTCAGCACCACCCGGGCTCTAACGGCAGCCATGTTTCAAAGAGCTGCTCACCTGAGCCACTTGCGCAACTCCTCCAGCTCTTCCGCACCCAGGCAGAAGCCTTTCAGCGCCCTGGCGTTACACCTTGATGAAAGCGTTACCGGCAAGGACAGTCGTCGCCGCAGGCGCCGGTTGAACCACAAGCAGGCCACCTGCTGCGATGGCAAAGCTCGGAGTTACGAGCTGGGTGTATCGGCTGCGGCGGGCATCGCTGTCGGCACGACGGCGGTTGGGGCTGAGGGCTATGGGGGTTGGCATGGGAACGACTGCACGTACAAGTGGGGACAGTTGCAAGAAGTCTGTGGTGGCGTTCAGCTGGGGGCGGGATTGGATATTTCCGTCTCCCACGGCTACTGGAATGATTTCGACTCCACAAAAGGTGAGTGCAGATTCGTCGGCGCATCAGCCTGCTTCTTTGTGTGCTTCGGAGGGCAATATGTCGTGGACTTGGGAGGCACTCATATCGGAAAGGTCATGGAGACAGGCTGGGTGGGCAAGACAACACGTGAATCAGACTCCCCTGAGGCGTAGAATGCAGGTCTATTGAGTGGTTTTCGTTCGTGGCTGTGTGCACATGCCTGCGAATCTTTGGGCTGTTGCTTTTAATCATCTGAGCCTCTAAGAAATGGGAAAGCCCTGCAGGTGGCGGCTTTGGACTTGACGTTTCCGCCGGCCATTGCAACTTCGTGATCCAAGAACTAGCCTTTCAAGTTTTGGGGCATTCTACGGGTAGGGATTTTTTGTTTTGTTCCGTCGATGTGTTTGATTGTTTTTGTTTTGTTTTGGTTGGGGGGTGGGAGGACGGAGGGATAGAAGACGATGACGGCGACCAGAAACATAAAGAACGACAGCACGTTTGTGACTGCAATAAGGAACGAACGCAAAGACATATAGACAGACAGAAAGAAAGAAAGCAAGGCACGGAAAGCAACCCACACTATCCAAACTTGGATAGTCATGTTAAGTATCGCATTTTATCCGTTCATGATCCATCCAAGCACGATTAGCATGCTAATTGTTGCGTGTTGTCCTGTTACAACTACACCAAGCAATCCAAACAGAAATCATCATGCGAAGTCTTGCCTCTAACCCATTTGTTCCTATGCATCCCGCACCATCCAAAAACGAAAAACCTTACGTACTAAGCACTGCTTTTCACCCGCTTATACCATCCTCACATAAGTAAACATGCTACGTATGTTTTAGAACCTTTTGCCTACAACCGTCCAACACACATATGATCATACTAGCTACTTCCCGTAAATCCGGTACTCCTCTGCAACCCGCACCATGCAAGCACGAATGCTCGTACCAAGTATGTCCTATAATCCATTATTACGCCACACCATCGATGTTGATAGCCATCGCAGACCTTTAAGTACTCTGTGGCTATTGGCCAGACCCCAACAAGAAGCTCAAGAAGCGCCATCATGCTTCGTTTCGTCACACCATCACATGAACCTGTATCAGTACCTCAAAAGGTAGTTAGTTGCTTTCATGTGAACCAAAAAAAAGGAAAGCGGTCATCAAAACGCAGCGTGAAAACCGAATATGCATGGTTTGAGATAGCAGTTCGTCTTGCCATTACAGGAGACCCGGTATCGGGTTACAGAATCAACTAGGTGCCTGAGTAGTACCCTTTTGCCCTTTTTATTTTGGGGTCTCCTTGTTAAAACCGAATACAAGGAAAAAGGGTGCCCTTATCATTATGGGGTACAGAATCAATCCTCCAATGCAGCGCCAATGCCGTCAATCAGGCCCGGTTGTATGGACATGCGAATCCATGCGGCAGCATCAAGCAAATTATCGTGATGTTTAGGCACCCAGCGAATATGTGATGTCTTTTCAATGTAGCAGAATGGTAGCACTCGCAGGCGATAGTTGTGAATATCCTGTTCGAGCACCATGTAAATCAGACTCATGTAGTAATGTAGTATGTTCTTTATGGTTGTTTTAATGGTCACTTCATAGTCGCTTGGCATCTAGGTATCCTGGTGCTCACACACACCCTATCAAGTCCTCAAAATGAGATTTGTTTGGCAGCGGGCAACAACAACCCTAAAACCGAAACCCCAAATGTCCACCCCTGAATCTCCTCTCTAGACATTCAAGTTTTGGTGCTCTTTGGGAAAGCGGTATAGCCGCTGTAACCCCAACACACCGCATTCGAAACTCCATTCACCAGTTTCCGAAAATGCGGAAGCATGCTTTCGACGTGGACCCTGAACTCAACGTCCTCATTTTACGGACACCTACAGAAGATGCCCTGTACTCAACGTCCTCACATTAAGGACTCCTGCAAAAGATGCCCCGATAGCTAAAAAAGTAATCCTGCAGCTGAAGCACGAAGATGACATTTGCTTCGACGGTGTTTTGGGTTTATATTACTTAATTCTCCAATACCCAACCTCTATAAACATCTTTGGGTTCTTTTGTATAATTTCGTAGTAATCTGAACGTTTAACCTTTTAGTTCCTTGACTTATCGGGGAAGTAAGCATTTAGTTGTAATTGACTAAGTAGACACTTTAAAAAGACATGAAGCACATACCAAGAAGAACCCCATGCATTTGGACGAAATTTACGAACGCTAGGTAACACTGTGAAACCCACAAAGCAGCACAGAAAGACCAAAAGTAAATTAACACCAATTGACCAAACATCCTCGCTCCTTCTAACACCGTGGCCTTATTCTGAAAGTGTGAACTTTTCAAGTCACTCGGTATTTGGAAAGTAAGGCAACGCGTGGAAGCTTTGGGAGAAGCAGGAGACGCAGCGTGATCTGAAGGACAAATGCCCCAGCGGCGGTGGGGGAGGTTGCTTCCCCGCGCACGCACAAGTGAGGACTCCAGATGGCGTGAAAAGCATGCAGGATTTGCGTGCAGGTGACCGCGTCCTTGCTGCCGACTCCCACGGCAATCTGATCTTTGATGAAGTGTACTTCTTCGGCCATGCAGAGCAGAAGTGGGCACCATACGTGAAGTTGCAGCTGCAAATCCTCTCCGAGAATGCGTCCCAGCAATTGGGGTTGGGGTCATCTTCTCTCGAACCTCTTGAGCTCTCCCCCGATCATTTTCTTCACGTTTGACCTCTTTCTGAGCCCGTTCAGCAGTGCGACTATGCCCGTGCCCAATCCCTGTATGCCTCGGATGTTGCAGTGGGAAGCTACTAGGTATAGGGCTTTGGGATATTTTTATTTTCTCCGTTTAGTGCGCCGCAACAGATCTCATTGAACGCCGAAGCTTTATTTCTGATGGGCCAACCTAGGCTATGTGTGGATGTGCAGGGCGCTTGGGCGCCCGTGTCCGCTGGCCAAAGTGATCTCCACGAGCTTCGTCCCAGGGTTCGGTCTCTACAACCCTTTCACCCTTTCAGGAAACATTGTAGTGAACGGTGTCTTGGCTAGCGCACACAGCAGCTGCTAGGTAGGCCGCTGGAACAATTTTGTGTTTTCCCTTATTGGGTTAAGGGGATCGTAGTTTTAATCTGTGTCCTTTAGGCGGCCCACTTAGGCTGGTTTATGGATGGACTTGTCAGCCCACGTTTCCGCCACCATTTGCCCAGCTTCTACCAAGCAGTCCTGATGCCGGGCCGTTTCCTTTATACCATCGCTGGTCCACGTGCAGCTGATGCTCTGGGGGTGAACAATCCTCAATGGGCACAAGGCGCATCGCAGTGCCTGAGATTGAGCCCTGTAGAGTTTTCTTCGTCTGTTAGGGTTCGGGTGCTAATCCTCTGGTTGCAGTTGCAACGTTGCTTGGCAAATCTACGTTGCATGCAGATACGGTTCACTTGCAATGTAGCTGCCTTTTGAACGTCTACTTAAATACATGATTGCAATGGTAGTAACAACAATACTCATAGCAATAATAATTATAAGAACAAAAAGACGAACAACAACAACAACAAGTAACCATGTAAGAATACTATGAGTATGTAGTACTAGTGATAGAAGTTACGAATGTTAACAACAAGCGCAAATAACAACGACAGCAGCAACAATAGGAATCTCAACAACGCCACAGCAATGACAATAACGACAATATAGAAACAATAGCACTAATTGCAACAACAGTGTAACGCTGACAATTTCAACAGGAAGCACAATAAACATATCAGTGCATGGCCGTAGCAATAGCAATGAGCAATATCAATAAACACCAGTAGCGAGAAGTAAACATAACAACAAGGACAACACAAAAAAAAACAAGGACAATAGCAAGGAGACGACAAATAACAATAACACAACAAACAACAAACACACGAGTAGCAGTAGCAATAGCTGCGCAGTAGCAGTAGCACAAACGGTAGCAGTAGCAGTAGCAATAGCAATACAAATAGCAGCAGCAGCAGCAGCAACAACAACAGCAGCAGTACCAACAACGTAACATGTAACAGCAACAACGAAAAACAACACCAGCAACAGGTTTACTTAACCACAACAACGACGACGACAACAGCGACGACAGCAGCGGCAGTACCAACACCAACAGCATCAACAACAACAACGACAACAACAACAGCAACAACGACAACGTCAACAACAAGAGTAGCAATGACGATAGCATGAACAATAACAGCAACATTAACAATGACAATGATCATGTCAATTCCAATAACAACAGCAAAATCAACAATGACACCGACTATCACAACCACAACGGCAACGACAACGACAACATCCACAGCAGCAACGACAGCAACAACAGCCGCAGCAACGACACCAGCATCAACAAGGACGACAACAGCGTCGGCGACAAAACAAAAATGCATTGCAAAGAAGGTCGACAAGAAGACCAAAACGTTGCAGCTTTGATGACATTTGTCAATCCGAATAACATCGATAGCAGCAGCAGCAGCAGCAGAATCACTACCAATCGCAATAGCTAGAGCAACAGCGACGGCAGCAGCAGTAGCAGTAACGTTTGCAATAACAGTAATTTTGTTATGGCTGATCAATTGATAGCCAAAAAAATAGTATGTAGTAAGAACAATGGCGAACTGATCACAACAAATGAGCCTTCTTGAGTTTGCGGTTGTCGGCTTGGGAATCTGAGGTGGCCGGCCGTCGTGGCGGTGTTTGGAGCATTGCCGTTGCTATTTGGCGCAGGTGTCCTTGCCTTCAAAGCAAGTTTGGTCTCCAAACGGAAAGCAGATCCAGCATGAAGGTACCGAACAGGGTACCGGATACACGAAGCAACGATTTACAGAGTCGATGCACAAACGGAGCTTGCCGACTTGCCTGGAGCATTTGGCTCCTGCAACATTTCAAGGACTTGCCTGGAGCATTTTGCTCCTGCAACATTTCAAGGACTTGCCTGGAGCATTTTGCTCTCTGGTACATTTCAAGCGTCGACGGTCACAGGCTTGCTCTTCGGTAAAAGAGTCCAAGCGCACATGGTTGCCGAGGTGCCTGCAGCTTGCTCATACAGGAATACCGCTCGCGCATGAGGTCCTGGGATCTTGTTAAGGTGTTTAATCTAAGTTGCCATAACAATGAAACCATAGTGTTTACTTTAGCTCCCCATTATGGTAACGTACATGAAATCGTCTAACAAGATATTATTTACAATAGATCTCTGTTTATGGCAACTTAAGTTATGATCCGTCAACAAGAACCCAGCATGGGATCAGGAGAGGCTCCCTTGGAGTTTTCGTGCCGCGCAGGAGAGACGGAGGTGACGCACAGACTGAGAACTGGGAGGTCGGCCTCTTCGTCACTATAAAAGTCTGAACCTGAAGCCGTTTACGTTTAGGGGGTTTTAGGGTTTAAAGTTCGCAGTTTAGGATTTAAGGGTTACTCTTTAAAGTTCAGTGTTTAGGGTTCAAGGTTTAGGGTTTAAAGTTCAGGGTTTTGGTTTTAAGGTTTAGGGTTTAGGGCTAGAGCTCGCAATGATAACCTCCTTGGGCTTCTCTCGCATCCAAGAAGAAAGTGCCGCCAGGCTCTCCTCGTAGCTGAAGTAGACTGCCAAGAGAGAGCTTTGGATTGAGACTTGTGTCAGTGCAGGTTGAAAGGTGATCGTTGACCAGCAGTGGTGGGCTATGAAATTGATCATAGCTGTTACCCTGCTGCTCCTTACTAATATTATGCTGTACTGTACTATATAATATACTACACTGTACGTACTATTCCATGCTATTTCATACTATACTACTAGTATGCTATACTTGACTTTATGGGCTTGTCGGTATCGGGGTGTGGAGGGGTTGCCGCTGCGGAATGACTAGCATAATTAGTATACGACAAGACCCAGTTCAGTCATTAAGGACCTTCTTTTATGCGGGTTGGGCTAGGCTTCGGCTGAGTCGGGTTTCGTTCTGATGGTTTTGGATTGATTTTCCCAAAGACGTCGTAAAGCGCAAAAGGAAGGAACACTTCACCTCATCATGTCGCCTAAACTGCCGAGCGTCTGCCACTTTGCCTGAACAGCCACTATTGATGATCTTGTGCTATTTGCTTCTGTATTTTTTGTTCCGCAGGCTCCTGCTAGATCCTAACCGCCAGGCAAGAGCCCAACGCAAGCACGCGCTGCGACAGGCGACGGAATGGTCAAGGAGCTGAGCCTACTGAGGGTTTAGGGCTTTTGGACCTAGACCTAGTCGCTAGAATTAGCAACTCATGATCCTCCAAGTAAGCCTCAAGCGCTAGCCCCTATTCCACATCGTAGCTGGAAGCAATATTACCATGGTTGCCAAGGGCCACAAAAAAGCATAGACATAGGGATCTCTAACTTGAGGCATCCTCTTAATCATACGGTAAACTTACCCCTGATCAACAACCCTCTTCCGTTTAACGAAGGGAGAGAGCCTTCACCAGGGGTCGGCGCCCTACAGTTGATGATAAAAATCCTGGATTACCCATAGTAGGGAATATACCATAATGCCCATAGTTTAAGGTCCTTAAGGTAATGCAGGATCTATATCATCAACCGTATGGAACCATCGACTCCATAAAGCCCTGTCAGACCCTACAAACCCTCAACAGAGGATCTTCAATCCTGATGTTAGGGTTGCCCTCTTGGGTTTTAGGGCCAGGGGTGTAGGGTTCAGGGCCAGTTTGGGGTTTAGGGCCGGTTTAGGGGTTAACGTGCCCTCTTGGGATCCTTAAATCAAAATAAAAGGGGCCCCTATAATTTAAGGTATCTTCCTTAATTAAGGTGTATTGGTGTGAAGTCACTTCGAGTTGGGGGAATTCAGAGGAAGATTGTGGGTGCGGCCAACACTCGGAGAATGGAGAAACTTCAAGCTGAAAGGTCTTACGGCGAACCCCAGAAACCACGGGACTAAGGGAGAGACCCTTAAAGGGACCCTTGGGGTTATATAGGAGCTTTATGAGACTATATAAGGGGCATATATGGGCTAAATAGGGTATTAGGATTAGGGGTCCCTTCTAGGGGTCCCTCCTATTGTCCCTTAAAGTTGGAACATGGATTTGGGATGGTTGCACCGGGAGTTCCCTCATACTTGACCTTACCCATCGGCTCCATTGTAGTTCCTTTTTTTGTGGGTTGATATGTAGAATCCTCTAAGGTACCCCCCAAAAAAGGAGCTAGAATGGAGCTTATGAAACCCTAAACCCTAAACCCTAAGGGTACGAGGATAATGATTTTCCAACTTTCCGGCTTCGACTGTAGCCAGTCAGTCAATGTCCGCATTTTGTTTGGTGAGTTGTTGTTGGTGGTTTAAATCAGTTTGAGTTCTTGTGTTCTGTTCTCATTCTTGCAAAAAGCAAGCTGTGAGACTTGGAATCTGGAGATATCTTTCCCTTGCGCGGACAACCCCACTGCGAGGAGGAGAACCCGCTTCCCGTGCTTCACCGGCCGCCCGCAGCGCCGAGGGCGGGCCGAGGGTTCGGGGAAATTAGGGGCCTTTATTCTTTTAGGGTGCTATACTAGGGACCAATACCCCCGTAATTAAGGAATATACCCTGGGTTTAGGGGTTTAGGGTTTTAGGGTTTAGGGTGGGTTTCGGGAATTAACATCTTAGTTCTCCAATACTCAACCTTTAAACTTTTTGGGTTCTTTCAAACTTAAAGTAGTAATCTGAAAGTTTAACCTTTTAGTTCCCTGGCTTCTTGGGGAAGTAAG